GTTTCATCACCATCGGCAACCGATTCGGCAGCTTCGCCGTCATCTACCGYCGGGGATTCAACGTCATGGTCAAGCATTGAAGAGCTCGACCCGTTGACTTTTGAGGACTTCCAATGGATGCCCCTGCACCGGTCCGGTCGCTTGCCGAAACCACATTGCAACGTGCTCAAAGCACAATTGCGGGATTACTTGCACACTGCAGTACCGACTCCGTTGATGGACGCCGGAGTAGAGGTTGTCGACCTTCACGCTTACATTGCAAAGATCGACTGCGAGTTCAAGACGCAACGGTACGACGACATTGACGCACCATTGCTATATGTACGCATTTAGATTGGAGAGGCGACCTGCAGCGCTTTGATTGATTGCGGAGCATCTCGCAACTACATGAGCCAGGACTTCATGGTACGCGCCGGCCTTGGCCCACGAGTCCGAAGGAAGTCCCAGCCCACGCAAGTCACATTGGCGGACGGTCACACACACAAATCAATTGACCGGTGCATTGACGACGTCCCAATGTACTTTGCCCCTCACGTGAGTGAGGCGGTGTCCTTTGACATTCTGGACACCAAATTCGACATGATCTTGGGCATGTCATGGCTGCGAAGCAAGGACCATCCGGTGAACTTCTACCGCCGCACCGTTCACATTCGTGATCGAAACGGAGTACTAGTCCCATGCACGGTAGCTCCTCCTCACCCTTCAGTCAGTTGTCACGTGGTATCCGCCGCAAGCATGCGAGCTTCCATCATCAGAGACGACATCGAGGAGATGGGGGTGTGTTTTCTCCACGCCCTCCCGCCCCAAGACGCGTCCTCGACGGACTCATCTTCGGATCCACGCATCACCGAGCTTCTCGACGCCTACAGCGATGTGTTCGAAGGCCCGCACGGAGTAGTACCGGATCGGCCCATCCGCCACGAGATCATCCTCGAGGACGGGGCCGTACCTCCACGCGGTTGCATCTACCGAATGAGCGAGGAAGAGTTAAGTGTGCTTCGGGCACAACTCGACGACCTTCTGGAGAAAGGTTGTGTTCGGCCTAGCTCATCGCCATACGGTTCTCCTGTGCTCTTCGTCCGGAAGAAGAACAAGGATTTCTCGAGCGAATGGGCGGCGCAAGCTCAACGCAGACGATCAGAAACGTCGGCCCTCTCCCACGCATCGACGACCTTCTCGAGCGAATGGGCGGCGCCAAGTTCTTCTCCAAGCTCGATCTCAAGTCGGGATATCACCAACTCGAGATCCGGCAGGAGGATCGCTACAAGACCGCGTTTAAGATGCGATATGGGCATTTTGAATGGCTGGTCATGCCATTTGGCCTTACGAATGCCCCGGCCACTTTCCAAGCGGCTATGACAATGGAGTTCCGACACATGCTGGATCGCTACGTACTTATCTACCTCGACGACATCCTGGTGTACAACCGGAGTTTGGAGGAGCATGTGGAACACCTGCGCACCGTTTTGGAGCGGCTACGACAAGCCAAGTACAAAGCCAACCGCGACAAGTGCGGAGCTGGAGTACTTGGGACATTATGTGATGCCACAAGGCATCCGTCCGCTTGCGGACAAGATCGAGGCCCTACGAGTATGGCCCGAGCCCACCAACACCACGGACATTCGTTCATTCATGGGATTGCGGGCTACTATCAGCGATTCATCACCGGATATTCCAGGATTGCTGCACCTATGACGAGGTTACAGTCGCCAAAGGTGCAATTCATATTCGATGACGACGCACGTCGGTCATTCCAAGCACTTAAGACGGCTATGCTTATGGCACCCGTCCTTAGCATCTATGACCCCACATTGCCGACGAGAGTGACTACGGACGCTTCCGGCTATGGCATTGGGGCACTCTTGGAACAGCACGACGGCGACGACTGGCACCCGGTGGAGTATTTCAGCCACAAAGTGCCTCCCATCAACTCGCTTGATGATGCAAGGAAGAAGGAGCTGCTCGCATTCGTCATGGCTCTCAAGCGATGGCGGCACTTCCTCCTTGGGCGCCGTAGGTTCACATGGGTTACGGACAACAATCCATTTACCTACTACAAGACGCAGGATACGGTGAGCAGCACGATCGGACGATGGATGTACTTCATCGACCAGTTTGACTTCACACTGAAACATCTACCTGGCCTCTCAAATCGCGCAGCAGATGCACTCTCGCGAAGACCAGATCTTTGCGCTATGACACATCATGCCTTCGCATTTGACGAGGAGCTTCAGCGACACTTCATCCAGGCATACGAGTCTGATCCGGACTTCGCCACGCTGTACGCACAACTATCTTTGGATCACCCGCCAGCCAGCCACTATCGCATTGCCAACGGATACTTCTCCTCCACTCGAGAGGCAAGGACTTATTGTGTGTCCCACGCGACCGTCGTCTTCGGACTCGCCTTCTCGGGGAGTACCACGACTCGCGACTCGCCGGCCATTTCGGAGTCAACCGCACTATTGCACAGCTTCGACAGCGATTCCGATGGCCCGATCTCATTACCGATGTCACTCGGTATTGCGACTCTTGCGAAGTTTGCCGACGCAGCAAGCCCCGCAACCGCAATCCCTACGGCGAGTTACGCCCGATGCCTATTCCACGGGAAGCTGGTCTCTCCATTGCCATGGACGTCACCGGTCCGTTTCCCCGCGACTGGCTCAGGCACGACGGCATCCTCACGGTGGTGGACCGATTGAGTAAGTATGCGTGTTTTCTTCCTTGCAAGTACTACTCCACGGCTCCCGAGCTGGCACGCCTCCTGCACACCGGCTGGATTTGCGGCCATGGTGTACCGGAAGACATAGTCAGTGACCGCGACACTCGCTTCATGTCGGCATTTTGGACTGCACTCATGCAGGAGTCCGGCATGAAGATGAAGCCAAGTTCGGCTCGGCATCCACAGACAGACGGGCAGACGGAGCGGGCACATCAAACCGCTCAAATGATGCTTCGTACGCTCATCCGTCCGGACTAGAAAGATTGGGTTGACCGCCTCCCCGACATCGAGTTCGCCTACAACACTTCGGTGCATCCGGCAATCGGTGTGACTCCATTCGAGTTGCACCACGGTGGATGAAAAGGCCGGATCTTCGCCGACCTTCTCCTCCCTCGACCAGCCGACATTGACGCTGCCTGCTCTCCCGCTTCCATCCGGAAGTACAGGGAATTGTTGACTAAAGCCCGCGCGAACATACAAAAGGCTCAAGTCCGCATGCAGCAGCAAGCCAACAGGCGTCGTGTACCATGTCCCATCCGCGCCGATGATCTGGTTTGGGTCTTCGCGGAAGAGTTTGCACTGGAACAGGATGTTTCACGCAAACTGCTTCCCAAGTGGTTTGGGCCTTGGTCTGTGACAGCAGCCGCGGGCGATGAGCCCGATGGCCCTTCATTTGTGATCAACATTCCCGAGCATCTGACGGTCCATCCAGTCTTTCATGCCTCGAAGCTGGCAACATATACACCAGCTAAGAGCGACGACTTCCCTGGCCGACGATCGCAGGACCCTCCTTCTATGGATGGTCATCAGGAAGTTGACCACGTCATCACGGATAGCAAGTACGGCAGCAAGCCGCGCCAGTACAAAGTTACATTCAGAGCATGCGATCTCGACGATTTGGTGGATTTCAGGAGCAGATTTAAAAGCATCCGCACTGCTGATCTACGCACACTACGAGCGACAAAGGTTAGCTAAGGGACCACCACGACCTGCCCCTCCCACCCGGACTGTGGTCCCTCCCTCAGACAGACAGCTTCGCCCTCGCAGGTACGCTCGGTCTTTCAAGGAGGGGGGTGTGTGGCATACTACGTAGCCACACGGGCCCTGCAGGGCCCGTCCCGCACTTTCAGCCTAAATGCCTAAAACTTAGGGCTTACAGACCCCCGTCATTCAGCCTGAAAACTGAAATACGAGGGTATGCAGGCCCTACTCCGTTTCAGCCTATTTCTGGGCCTTTCAGGCCCATAGTTTTTCCAGCCTGCAACGGAGGGCCTTTTTCGGGCCCTCATTGTTTCGACCACCCCTAAGACTCAGGCACGAATACAGGGTTTTGGAACAGGCCAAAAATAGCCTGTTCCTCACGAGCTTGAGCAAGAGCTGCAGCTGCAGCCCCTGCCTCCCTTCGGCATTGGCAAGAGCAGCCTCCTGGACTGCTCGCACGAGTCAGGAGGCACACCCGGTAGTACATAGGAAGTTCCCATGCACTTCACGGGCAGGTAGTTGTCAGTARGCACGAGTAGTCTTCAGGATTCRGCCKYAGCACTCAGGAGGAGCGCTGCAGTAGTCTTCAGCGCTAGGCAGTAGGATAGCGCTAGTAGTAGTCTTCGGCGCTGGGCGCCCATAGCCATAGTTGTAGTCTTCAGCGCTGGGCGCTATTAGGTGGTAGATCGTAGAGTTGGGAGAGATGGCTGGCAGAGGCCAGCGGTACTTACCTGTGGCACCATAGCTCCAGCCCCATCTTCGAGGTACCTGCATCAAGGCGCCAACTTCACAGGTTAGTACTGGACACAGAGAAAGAGAGAGAGAGAGAGTTTTTCTTCTTCCTCTTCTAAGTCCACCATCTCTTCTCACCCTCTCGCCATCTGACTTCTCAGACTACGACAGAGAGAGACAGAGTTGTGACTTGAGACCTGACGACATTGGATCCAGACTTGACATTTGGGATTCAGACATTTCGACGAGGGACTATTTGGGCCTGTGCCGAGACTTGGTGTTGACGACATTCCCATCTTTCCCCTCCTCTTYGTCTAACCCCTTCTTCTTCGTCTGTGTATGGTAGGGGCTGGYGCAGTCTTCCTGTGTGAAGCGCCAGACCCCATTCACACCATGTAACGATGATGATGATGTATGTTCAGGGCTGCATGGCAATATTGATTGTTCGGATCACTGGTATCTAAGTCTTCCGCTGTGTTATCTTGTACTTTGTATTGAGAGGTCGGATCTTGTTCTGGTCTGCACGTTACAGTATGCAACACCCAACACCCCAGTAGCTGTTGTACACAGGCAGCCTCCTGGGGCCTTCCGGAAGCTTCTGGGCCCAGGCCAGTGCAGCCAGGCTGCTCGAGCAGTCCAGCTCTTTCCATAAAGGAAAGAGCTCTCGCCAGGCAGCCTCATTCGGTCACTTGCTGGCTGGCGGTAGCGCTGCTGGAGCAATAGCTCACGGGCTGGCTGCTGACATTGGGAGCAAGAGGTTGCGCACATGCGGTCGTGTGGTGAGCAGGGCGCTGCTGAGGGCAGCGCCATAGCTAGTCTCCATAGCGGGCTCGGCTTGGATACACAGTGAGGCGTAGGGGTGGTCTTCGGGTGCAAGAGAGGACAGGTGTGGGTGATAAGTCAGGGAAGGGCGAAGGATGATGACGATGATGATGTGAGGGCACTTACCTTGTATTGGCGATGGTCAGCATATGAGCGACATCTTCAAGTACTTCGAGTTGCCGCTGATGTCAACAGTTGCATTGTCTATTATTAGGCTGATCGTAGCTGTGTAGGAGTAGGCTGGGCGCTGAGCGCCAAGTGGGAGTGTGAAGGGACTGGACTCTTGTGTTACTGAAGGAGAGAGAAAGCTCTCCATGACATTGGTTTTTCAGTACTACGAACTTCCNACTGGACTCTTGTGTTACTGAAGGAGAGAGAAAGCTCTCCATGACATTGGTTTTTCAGTACTACGAACTTCCATTGGTGTATTATTGGTGCAATGCTGCTCTCTGGACACAGTGTGACTATCTGGCTTTTAATGTGATGGTGTAATCTGGATTTGTCATCTCGGTGTTGCTTATTTTCCTTGCAATTTGGTATCGGAGCTGGTTCATATTGCGCTTCATTGGTTCTTCGCAATAGCTATTGGTGCTTCGCATGAGGTGTGGGGCAGTGATAAGGCATTGGCGTTGAACATTAGGCGGCCCAGGGTAGAGTGGGCGTGCCAGGTAGCTATGTGGTGACATACGGGGTGTATGCTGGATGATGAGAGCTCGCTGATGTGGCATATTAAGCCGAGGTGGAACGGCATTCTGTTGTTTGTTGTGCTGAGGCAAAGACCGGTCATCATAATTGCACATTAGGTTGCCGGTGAGAAATCTGTGGTTGGGGGCAGCATTTATGAGGTACGTTGCTCTCTTCCTTATCTACCCTCTTCGTTACTTTTTATTGTGAGGAAGTGAGTTCTGTCTTGAGAGTCCTCTCGATGTGAGGTGTCGTGAGCGCTCAACCTTGAGAGTCGACATTCTTCCTGGGCAGCAAGCTGGTGGGAGACGGGCGAAGCCTCTGAAGGGCCCAGTACGAAGCACTCGGGTCACGGTCACCATGCCAACCCGCCGGGACTAGTACACGCATGCTTTGCTGCAAGTCCTTGGTTCTGCTGCTTGCGCAATAGAGGTCATGCAGGGCATGCCAGCCCTTTGACAGACGCTTACCAGACCGTCTTTAAACATTTTTGGTCGGGGACTCGGAATTGAATCTGGCTGTGATCGTCGTCCTGTCTGCGACGTTAAATAATTCCTGAGGAGATGGGGGCTCTCCTTAAATCCTTCCTGATCAACCAGATCAACCGGGTGTAAGGCTCGTTGCATGCGAGGGTAAATAAAGTGCAGGGGCTGGGATGTTCAGCGTTGAGTTAGGGCACAGGGGTGGGCCGGATTGCACACCTTCAAACACGCTGCTCAACCAGATGCTCAAGACGTTAACACAAAGTGACCACTCAAGAAGGATACAGGGGGAGGGGGGATTCAGGTAACTGTTTGCAGTGGCAATCAACAGATAATCTGCCATCAAGCATACATCTCCAACAAGAGATATTATTTTTATTTTGTTTATCTAGTTGTTATGGACTTGACTAACAACTGACAGACAGCTGCAGACAGATTAGATCTTTGCTGTATTGCAATCTGTTCTAGGATAATCTTAAAATAGATCTGATATTTCCTGTAGGATCTGACATTAGTTGTTACTATATCACCTAACTGTTTCTGTTCCATCCGACCGAAACTAATTGTGATTCATAATCGATTGTGTCAGGCTAAGGTAGGATTCCGTGTGGATTCTAGTTTAGATCACACACACTGTAGCTCATGAGTGATGCAAGCACTAGTGAGGAGGAGTTGTTAGTGGACGACCGTAGGACTACTCGTGGGACTGCCCGTAGTAGACCCTTGACATTCTTGGAGGTAGGTCCAGGAGACGAGAGAAGATTGCGGAGAGAGGCTAGAGAGAGAGCAGCGGCAAGAAGAGCAAGGGCTGCTGAGGATAGTGTCAGGAATAGAGTTTCAGTTAGCACCGGTACAACCATGGCTACCTCATCTATGTCGCAAGTCTCTACACAGTCCACTTCGTCAGGAGTCAGTCAGAGTGGTTCTCAGGGGTCCATTAGTCAGATTGCTAGCTTGCGAGTCAGCCAGCAGACTCAACTCGCGGCGGAGGATTTAGAAATCCGTCAAGCAGAAGAACTTCAAGATGAGCTACAGCGGCAATTGGACGAAGCAACAGAGAGGAGAAAAAACGCCATACTTAGAAAGGCTAGACTAGGGAGTAGAATGCAGGAGCTAGGCAGGCTGGAAGGACTAGATGAGGCGGCATTAGATCCTGCTGTTCGTGTGCTGCGTAGTGCCTTACTTTCAGTGGCTGAAGCGCAGAACGTCCAACAGGAATTGCTGGCCGAATTGGTGGCAGGCCAGAAACAAATTCTGGCTGAACTTCGGGCTCCCCGCACAGCAGTGAGGCAGCCGCAGTTTGTTGTAGTTCCCCCTGCGGGTGCGGGTCCTTCATCGATGCCACAACACACAGGGTCAACTTTCTCTCCTATGTTTGGCATACCCCCTCCAGGTGGTTTAGTAGCAACTAGTGGTCCGGTCCATAGGGTCTCAGCCGTACCATCCACGACAGTGGTCACTACAGTCCCACTGTCAAGTCAGGCCCAGGTTAGTGTGCAACAGCCTGTTTCACTGGCTATGCAGCCGCTGCAGCAAGCCCTTGGGCCCATGCAGCCTATGCAGTGGATGCCTAAAAAATACCTTTGATGAGTCCCAAGCCCTTCTCTGGCGACAGGAAGAAGGATGAGGACTTAGACACCTGGGTGAGGACTGTGCCTACTTATGTGAGGCACAAGCTCACGAGGCCAGAGCAGGAAGTTGTAGTGGCTGCCTCCTTTTTAGAGGGGTCAGCAGCCCGCTGGTTGAATGGCTTAGTGCAGTAGCAGGGCTACGGTCAAAACTTCGATGCCTGGGCACAGACTCAGACATTGGAAGAGTTCGTACGGTCCGTGTATAATAGGTGGCATGACCTGCAAGGGGCTCAGAAGGCCACCGATGCAAACAACAATCTTTGTTCCCGCAGGTTCAAGAATGTCAGAGAGCTAACGGACACTGTAGAACATTTACTCGTGGTACATGGTGTGCGTTTTGATCAGCAGGTTCTCCTGACGGATTACCTAAGGTGCCTACCTGCAAAGGTAAGGACCAAGCTGGTTGATGAGGCCTATGTCGAACAACACACCTTCGCTTCTTTTAGTAAGAAAGCTCTGGACATTGAGGCAAAGTTGGGATCCGCTCATCAGGTATCTCATGATAGTAGGAAGAGACTTCCCCAGGACTGGAAGAAGAAGGGTCAGTTGATGTTTGTTGACCATGATGGTCAAACGATGGAGATTGACGATTTCCCAGATCTTGGGGAGGCGACAGAGCAGGATGGGGCCAGTGAGACTTCGGATGGGGGAGTCGTGGCACCTATCAAAGAAAAGGCTAGGGGGACCGGGAAGAAGAAGATAGTACGGTCCACGGGTCAAGGCGACCAAGGAACACCTGCTTGGGTGAAACTTGGTTTAGACTACAAGGTGTGGAGGGACCTAGTTGCCAGGGGCACATGCATGAACTGTAGCAACTATGGCCACACATCACGGACATGCCGAGGCAAAAAGGTCACAACGAAGGTAACCTCACCAATAGTGGTGGGCTTATCTTCGAACCCTAACAGTGCTTCTGCGAGCACTTTGCAGGGAAACTCCTCGGGCCAGTAGGAGTGTTAGTCGATCTTACTCGCGCTGAAGTGGTTACGTTACCTTCCCCACTTCAGGCGTTGGCCAAGGCTAGTGACCCACGTATCGCCCCACAGACACATACAGACCCACCGACGCTGTCGGGTCCTAGCTGCCTTTCTCGCCGCTGCTGTCAAGACCGTGGACGACACGCCCCCTGACACCCTAGCGGCGCTGCCCGCACGACTAAACTCGCCCCCCCTTTTACCCCGATCTCTACTACTTGTTTTGTTATGCCCTGGACCATCCCCCGGCCCTAGCCCTGTCAGCGCTCGTTTTTCTATAGCACGAGCCTTGACAAGGTCGGTGCCCGCCGAGTCCCTCAGCGTCCGTAGACCATGCTCTCACCAGAGGCCTACGTCCCTCGAGGCCTAGCGCGAACTTAGACTTTTCGTTTCGCAGCGGTTTCAAAATTCACAAGATCCGCGAAGCTCCCCCCCCCTCGTTCCCTCGCTGGTTTTCCCCTTTGTTTTTAGAACGCACCTCGCGCTCAGATCCGACCTGGTGGGCGGGGCAAGCAACCGAACCCGCAATTTAGGAGGTGTTTAGTACGAAGCCACGCCCAGGCGTCTACGACAAAGAAAAGGTTTCCGAGAGGCTTCGAAGACCGGACCATGCACAAATGACAAAAAGGAGGAAAGTCACCGAGAGGTTGCTGAGATCAAACCCCCGATTAGAATGTACTTGACACGAAGCCCCGACCATGCACATATTGCAAAGAAATGTCTCAGGGAGTCAGTGCAGAGCAAAGACACAGTTTTTGAGGACTTGACTATGCGCACATGACAAAGGGGAGAAAAGTCGCCTAGAGGTTGCTCAGTACGAACCCCGATTAGAATGTACTTGACACGAAGCCTCGACCATGCACATACTGCAAAGAAACATCTCAGGGAGTCAGCGCAGAGCAAAACACAGTTTTTGAGGACCTGACTATGCGCACATGACAAAGGGGAGAAAAGTCGCCTAGAGGTTGCTCAGAACAAACCCCGATTAGAATGCACTTGACACGAAGCCCCGACCAGGTACCAAAGGAAAACATTACCCAGCGCGGTCAGTCCGCGTGTCCCTCTTTCTCCCTCTCTTTCCCTTGCTCCCTCCCCCTCTTGCACTCTCTCCCTCTGTCCCTCTCCCTCTTTCTCTCGTAACCTCTTTCTTCCGAGACTGAGTGCCGCCCTTCCACACGCTGGAAGAAAGCCGGAGGCAGCTCCGATGGCCCTCTCGCCAGATGCTCCTGCGCAAGGTACACTGGCGCATCGCCTAGACCCGCGGCTCAACCTCGTTGTCGTCTTCAACCGTGCTTTCGATCTCAGGGAGAGCGGATCTCACTCAAGCGCTCTTCGAGGGCCACCCCTGAGCACGTTGTTTCCTCCTTGCATCCGGATGTCGCCCCCGCCCCTGACAGCAGTCGGGGAGCTTGCCTACAGGTTCCCGGCCTCTATTGCCCCCCGTCTCTTAACTTTGCAATCCCCACCTTCCCTCCTGCTTCTGTCCACCTTCTCCCGCCGCTTGCGTGTAACTCGTGACGCTTCCGGGAGTGGGCGCTTGCCTGGTCGCGAGTCCTCTCCCGATGTTCCTTGCACGAGCCGGCTCCGCCGTCGCGTGCACCAGACTTGCGAGGGTCCGGAACGTTCCCCCAAGGTGGCTCTTCTGCTCGCAGGCGGCTTACGCAACCCCGCGCATCGCCCAGCGGAGCCTGCCAGTCCTTCACCATGGCGAGACGGACTCCCCTCCTCCGTGTACCGAGCTCGAGACGGCTCGAAGGTGTGCCACACGGTAATGACGGACTTTGCCCCCTCGAGTGCAGGATATCTTCCGCTCAGCAAGTGAGTGCCCACCCGTTGGTGCTCCCCCGACACTCCTCGAGAACCCTTACCTGTCCGTGTTTTATCAGTCCCACCCGGCCGCGGGCGTTCCTTCACCTCCTCGTGTCCCTCTGTTCTTCCTTATCTCTCTCTCTCCCTCTCGCACACTCTCTCTCACTCCGTCGTTCTCTCCCTCTCTCTTTCTCGTACGCTCTCTCTCTCTCTGTCGTTCTCTACCTCTCTCTTTCTCGTACGCTCTCTCTCTCTCTGTCGTCCTCTCCCTCTCTCTTTCTCGTACGCTCTCTCTCTCTCTGTCGTTCTCTCCCTCTCTNTCTCTCTGTCGTCCTCTCCCTCTCTCTTTCTCGTACGCTCTCTCTCTCTCTGTCGTTCTCTCCCTCTCTCTTTCTCGTACGCTCTCTCTCTCTCTCTCTGTCGTTCTCTCCCTCTCTCTTTCTCGTATGCTCTCTCTCTCTCTCTCTCTGTCATTCTCTCCCCCTCTCTTTCTCATACGCTCTCTCTCTCTCCGTTGTTCTCTCCCTCTCTCCCGCTCTCTCTCTCTCTCTCTCTCTCCGTTCCTCTCTCTCTCCTTCCCCGTGGAGGCGCCTTCTCGATACCGACCTCAGCCTTAAGCCGGTGCGTGTTTGGCGCCCGCATGTAGGTGCACAAACCTCGTGCGCAGATCCCTGCTCCTTCTTCCTGACCAACTCCCTGTGCTCCCGCGCACGTGCGCGCCTCGGCTCGCCCCCCCACTCTATACCTCTCGGGGTCCGACCGACATCGAACGCTTTCGAATAAGCGCGTCTTCGTGCGCGCTAGCCTTCCGACCTCCTCCTTTTATGGTGTCTCCTTCGTCCCTTTTATATTTGTCCCTTCCTCTTTTTGCCTCGTACGTCCCTTTTCGTGGCTCGACTTCCAAGTCGCAAGGCGCCAAAAGGTCGAAAATTTCAACTTTCGCCCTTTCTCCCACTTTCGCCTTCCCTTCCCTCCACCATCCTCTTTCTCATCCGTCCTCCAATGAGATCCTCCCCTCCCTCGATCGCTGGATCCATCTCGAGCAGCATTGCGACGTCGATTGCATCTCCTTTCCGCGTCCCTCCCCTGTCTAGATGTACTTTGCCCACACCTTCGATCCGTAGGTAGCTGCGCCGTTCGGTACTTCAGCGGCCTCCTTATCCCGACTTAACGGCCACCTCCCGCGCTACAGCCTCTTAGGCAGTTATCCGGGGCACGAGGCGCGCGCTTCTCCTGTCCAACCATCAAGGTACTGAAGTGTCACACTCCAGCTTGCCCATTCGAACCGTTGAAGACGGTTTGTCATTTCAAGAGTCCTTTTCCCTCCCACTCTCTCTTTCATACCCAAAAGTTTCCTTTCCTCTGACCCCCTCGATCCCCATGCTTCTCTTCTCTCCCAATCATATTGCTTAGCTCCGACTGCGACGCTTCTCTCTCCCTCCCCTATTGCTTCCTAAAATTTTCTTCCCGGCTTTTATTTTCGATTTCCCGCCGATTCCGCCTACATCCTTCATCCCCCTTCGTTTCCCCTCCCGCTCTTCTATCTCTGCCAACGACCATTCTCCTTTCTTCCCCGGGACCCAGAAATCAGTTATCGAGAAGCTTGGGGGAGGTGCGTGCACACACCCTTGGCACGAGCTTCCCCAGCCTTTTCTCAACCGTTTCGGCTGGCGCCTGTCTTCGTCGTTCCCCATTCCTCGTCAGTCCCGACCCCTGCACCCGGCTCCTTTTCTGATCCGAGTGCGCTTGCACCGGGGCTCTAGCGATCACCGGATAACTCGACCTTGGGAGCTCGCCCGCTCGAGCGAACCTTTCCTCCTCTATCGCCACGAAGCTAAACCCCCTCCGGGTCCTAACTATCCACCTTTCCCTTACCCCTCTTGCCTCTCCGATTAATAGGTCCAGGGGTACCACAACCTTGGACCAAGCCTCTGGTTTGACAAAGACTATCGCCGTGACTTTGAGATGCACCCCTGTCGTTCTAGCTTTCACTTCTTCCGACTCTATCCATACGAAATTTCCGCTGACCGTGATCTTTCCACCTTCCAATCTCCTCCAATCGGGGATTTCCCCATTGCTCGGAACCAAGCTATACACCCCTTGCTCGTCTAAAGGGGACTTGCCAAACCTACCGACATCCTTGTCAAATAGAACCATTCATACTAAACCACCCTTTGGCGGACCCCAAACACCCTTCGGTAACAGTAGTGTCTCCCACCCTCACGGTCTTGCTCTGATTCCAGAGAGATCCTTTCTCGGATCCAATCGGCCCTAGCTCCGTATGGCACTGGGTAGTCGAAGTCAGTCCCTTGCTAGCTCAGCCCCCCTCTTTCTCGTCTAACCTGCATCGGTAGTTCTGATCAGGAATGAAACTGGTGGGGGACGCTTCCCTATCCACCTTCGGCCTTCTTCCCCGCACCTGTATGGTCTGCCTCAGCTTGATTCGAAAGTCGTACCGGTCATGCTCCTATCGATTGATCTCCGCGCGTGAGAACCGACTTTTTCCCGTTCCCTGCGATAGTAGCCGAGATCATTCGGTCGATACGGAGCTTACTAATCGCATCGTATAGTGGAGAAGACTAGACTAAACCCCACAAGCAGATCGTAGCACGCCTCCCCCCCTCAGTCTTGATGACTCTCCATATCGTGGCGGGTTAGCCGAGATCATTCGGCCGATACCGAGCTTACTAATCGCATCATATAGTGGAGAAGACTAGACTAAACCCCACAGGCAGATCGTAGCACGCCTCCCCCCCTCCGTCTTGATGACTCTCCATATCGTGGCGGGTGATTCGAACCGGCGTCCAGGCCGTGGTCATTGACCCTCTCCATCATTCAACCCTGTCCTTTGATTCCCGTCGTGTCGTTGTCGACCCCTCAGCTGCGTAGTTCAGCAGCCTCTCACAGTCAAAGTCCGGATCTTTCGCAGGCTACCTTATTTTGGGCCTTTGCTCATTTGTTCCCATTTCCTGGAACCTGGCATCGAAACTTCGACTTTTGGGGATCCGCGCGAACCCGCTTGCGACCGTGGTCCAAACTGCCACTCTCGCCCATTGAAGGGTTAGTACGAAGACCCGGAACTCAGAATCATCCACAAACCTCCCAATCACACACAGGCACGCATCAAACTCAAACAAAAGCAAAAAAAAGAAAGGTTCATTGATTTTAAAAAGAAAGTTCTTCGGCTGGTAGGCAGCTGCCCGACAACGCTCTGTTCGAGAGATGTGTTTGAGGCCCTAGAAGAGTTAGAGACTGAGTGGTCAGGGAAGGACCCCAGGGACTCTTGGGCGATGACAAGTAGAGGTCCAAAGGGTGAACATTTCGTGGTAGAGGTCGATGTAGGTGGCCGTAAGGTTGGCGCCTTCGCAGACATAGGCTCTACACGAAACTTCATTGGTCGTGCTTGTGTGGATAGACTGCGCTTAGGGGACCAAGTGCAGCGGCTTAGCAGAACTGTCGCTTCTACGCTGGCCAACAAGCACCAAATGTTGGTAAAAGACTACATCAAGGACGTAGTCTGTACCTTCTCCTATGGAGGAGGGGAAGTGAGCCATAAAATCTCCTTCCTAGTTAGCGACAAACTGCCCTTTGATATGCTCCTAGGTATGTACTACCTCAAGGTCACGCAACCGCATTTTGACTGGGATAGAAAGGTATTGATTCACAAATTGCCCAATGGAAGATCTGTTAGATTGCAAAAGTTCAAAGCTAGCAGTCTGATAGAAAACTACGGGTGCATGTGTGCATCATCTTTCTTTAACTACTATAAGCATGTACTTAGTCTTTGTCTCTGAGAAAGGAAAGGCCGTTAAAACAACCCCAGAGATAGAATTAGTCATCGCACAATATTCAGACCTTTTTGAGGAGCCCACAGGCGTGGTAGAAAGGGAGGTTGTCCATGTGATAGAGGTTGTCCCAGGTAGTGAGGTACCTAGAGGACGAGTCTATAGGATGTCTCCTGCGGTGTTATATGAGCTCCGCCGCCAGCTCAAGGAGCTCACAGAGAAGGGATGGATTCGGCCTAGTACCTCCCCTTACAGCGCTCCAGTCCTATTCGTACCGAAGAAGGGAGGTACCTTGAGGATGTGCATTGACTACAGGGGCCTCAATGCCATCACCGTTAAGAACGCGGAGCCCCTACCCCACATCAACGACCTCTTGGATAGAGTGCAGGGATGCCGGTACTTCACCAAAATAGATCTGAAGTCCGTATACCATCAAATTGCCATTAGGCTTGAGGATCAGCACAAAACCGCATTTCAGACTAGGTACGGTCTGTACGAGTTTGTGGTGATGCCGTTTGGACTATGCAATGCACCTGGTACATTCCAGCACTCGATGAACAGGATTTTTCATAACTACTTAGACAAGTTTATCGCCGTGTACCTCGACGATATTCTCATCTTGAGTAGGACTGTAGAGGAGCACGCTGAGCACTTGAAAACAGTGCTAGGTCTCCTAAGACAGCACCAGTACAAGGTGAACTTGGAGAAATGCGAGTTTGGTCGCACCAAGATCTTGTACTTGGGTCATGAAATCTCAGCAGATGGACTGAGGCCGGATGATGCCAAGGTGGCCAGCATACATGACTGGCCTAGACCTCAGACTGTTACTGAGGTCAGATCGTTTTTGGGGATGACGGGCTACTATCATCCGTTTGTAAAGAACTATAGTGCTATAGCTTCCCCATTGACAGATCTAACTCAACTGGACACCCCTTGGGAGAGGACTGAAGAGTGTGAGGCGGCCTTTAGGAAACTGAAGTACGCCCTGACACACTATGAGGTTCTTAAACTTCCTGATCCTGATAAGTCGTTTGTTGTGACCACCGACGCCAGCCAATATGGCATAGGCGCGGTCCTTGCGCAAAAGGAGGGGCCCAAGTCGAGACCTATCGAGTACATGAGCAAAAAGATGCCATCTCAGAAACTAGCTAAGTCCACTTATGAGTGTGAGCTCTATGCCCTGTACAGAGCGCTGGTACATTGGAGACACTATCTCCTTGGCAGATTCTTCCATGTGAGATCTGACCATGAGACCGTGCGCTGGATCAAGACTCGGCAGGTACTCTCTGACGCACTCAAGCACTGGATACAAGTGATAGACATGTATGACTATCAACTTGATCTAATCAAGGGCGAGTATAACAAAGTGGCTGATGCGTTATCTCGCCGGGCGGATTATCTGGGCGCACTAGTGACTGAGTTTGGCATATCTAGCGATTTGACTCGATCCTTGGTGTCATCCATAGATTAAAGGCAAAGGATAAAAAGACTTTGGATGAATTTACGATGGTAGACGACTTGCTGTTTCTTGAAAAGGCAAGGAATAAAAGACTGTGTGTTTCCAGCAGTGAGTCGTTGCGTAGTTTATTTTTAGGAGAATGCCATGATGCAACTGATCATTTTGGCTACAAAAAGACATCAGCGAACTTAGTACAAAGATTTTGGTGGCCCTCTATGATGCAAGATGCAAAACGCTATGTGGAAACTTGCCAGGTTTGCCAAAGAGACAAACCAAGGACTTAGGCTCCGCTTGGGCTGATCAAGACCTTGCCGATTCCTGAAGGACCTGGTCAGAGTGTGTCCATGGACTTCATGGATACTCTTGTGACCAGTAAATCCGGAAAAAGGCTTATCTTTGTAATAGTGGACCGCTTTATTAAGTATGCAAGACTAATCACTATGCCAGAAACAGCTAAAACTGACCACATCATCAAACTGTTTATGGATAATTGGGTACGTGATTTTGGTTTGCCTACATCTATTGTTAGTGATAGGGATGAGAGATTCACAAGTGAACTGTGGCAGTCAACCGCTGAACAGATGGGCACCAAACTCTAAATGACCTCAGGGAATCACCCTGAGTCAAATTGCCAGGCAGAACAGATGAACCGGGTAGTACAGCACCTGCTTCGGCATTATATTAAGCCAAGCCAGGATGACTGGGACGAGAAGTTCCTCGCCAGCCTGTACAACAATGCTGTGCACAGTACTACCGGTATGACTCCCAACCAGTTACATCTAGGTTGGAAGCCCAGAACTGCACTAGACTTTCTGCTACCAGAAAGACAACCCACTGCAGCACCTGCCAGCATAGACTTTGCTGTCAAATATGAACAGATGTTGCAGCAGGCCGTTGAACATATTAGGAAGTCTCAGGATGCTATGATCGCATCTGAGAATAAGCATAGACGACCCTCTAACTTTCAGGTAGGTGATAGAGTCTGGGTAAAGTCATCTGAACTAGGTCAGGAGATGGGGATATCCAGAAAATTGATGCCACAGTATTTTGGGCCCTGGGAGATCTTGGACATTGTAGGGGATCAACCAGATGGGCCTTTATACGTGATCCGTATTCCTGCACACCTACGTACATACCCTGTGTTCCATGCCTCCAAGCTGGCACCTTTCGCTGCCACTGACCAGTTTCCTTCAAGAAGATCAATGCTGCCCCCAACCATGGACGGCGAGGTGAACATTGATCAGATTGTGGAGCATCGAATGATGCCTGTTCCTCGACCATCAGGCAGAGGGCGCCCTCCTAAACTGAGAATGCAGTATCGTGTGAGCTTCAGACATCACCTCGATCCCAAGGAAGATCGCTGGTTCATACGAGAGGAACTCATGAGAACAACACCTCAAGTGATTGCAGGCTATGAAAGAGAACGGAAAGGGAAGATGCCTGCAGAATAAGAGACTTCTCAGAGGACTAGCGAAGTAAAGGAGGAGGGAATGCGAGGATCAGGGTCCTCGGTAGGCCCAAGGGGCCCTGTTTGCAGCATTGCCCGCCCTAAGTGAAGGCGGGCCTAACATTTCACAAGAGGCCTACGACTGTCAATTTCATATTTGGGGGTACAGGCAGTTGTGACGCGCCAGTTGGTTGAGACAAACACAGGCCGAGCAACAAAGACATTTTCACGGCCCTCCGGGCCTTTCCAAAGAATGCAGGCCCTGGGCGTGATTCGTAGCCTCATACAGAGACAGTTGGGCGCCCAACCACACGAGGCCCAACAGCCCAGTAGCTGCTGTACACAGGCAGCCTCGTGGGGCCTTCCGGAAGCTTCTGGGCCCAGGCCAGTGCAGCCAGGCTGCTCAAGCAGTCCAACTCTTTCCATAAAGGAAAGAGCTCTCGCCAGGCAGCCTCATTCGGTCACTTGCTGGCTGACGGCAGCGCTGCTGGAGCAATAGCTCACGGGCTGGCTGCTGGCATTGGGAGCAAGAGGCTGCGCATGTGCGGTCGTGTGGTGAGCAGGGCGTTGCTGAGGGCAGCGCCATAGCCAGCCTCCATAGCGGGCTCGGCTTGGATACACAGTGAGGCGCAGGGGTGGTCTTCGGGTGCAAGAGAGGACAGGTGTGGGTGATAAGTTAGGGAAGGGCGAAGGATGATGATGATGATGATGTGAGGGCACTTACCTTGTATTGGCAATGGTCAGCATATGAGCGACATCTTCAAGTACTTCGGGTTGCCGCTGATGTCAACAGTTGCATTGTCTATTATTAGGCTGATCGTAGCTGTGTAGGAGTAGGCTGGGCGTTGGGCGCCAAGTGGGAGTGTGAAGGGACTGGACTCTTGTGTTACTGAAGGAGAGAGAAAGCTCTCCATGACATTGGTTTTTCAGTACTACGAACTTCCATTGGTGTATTATTGGTGCAATGTTGCTCTCTGGACACAGTGTGACTATCTGGCTTTTAATGTGATGGTGTAATCTGGATTTGTCATCTCGCTGTTGCTTATTTTCCTTGCAGAAGTATAAACATTGGAAAGTATTCAAAAACATCAAAAGCTGCAAGTTTTGAGGCCGTGTAAGGCATTAATTGGGAGGCATGAAACACATGATAAGTCTTCAGATGTGGAGGTATGTCCACGTGGTAAGAAGGTCCATCTGTATCATTACCAACAACATGCAGTATCTCCCAAGGTCCGTACCACTTAGGCAGCAGTTTTCTGCAAACACCCGTCTTCAACCGCAAACTCGTTCATGCTCACCCATACCAGGTTTCCTTCCTTGATAGTCGAAGGGCAGCGATGCTTATTAGCTTGATCAGTCATCGCCTGTTGTGCCTTATGCATACTCCTGATGGCTTGTTGGAGTTCTTCAACAAATTGTATGGTGAACTCCGTCGTCCCAGTAGGGTGCTTGAGCTGCTGGTCTGGGACCAGAAAGTCCACAGGCATGAAATGATTTCATCCATGTTGCAGCTCAGCAGGTGTACGGAAGGTTGTAGGGTGCGTGAAAGTGTTGTAAACGCCTGCTACCTTGGCCAAGTATAAGTCCCAATCAATCTGATCAGGCCGTATCAGATATCCCAGGACTTGTTGTATGGTCCTGTTTATTCGCTTGGTCTGACCATCACTCTCTGGGTGGTGGGCTGACGGATTCCATCAGATTCTGCCACAATTCACTTGTGAATCGAGTGTCTCTGTCACTTACAATGTCTGAGGGAAATCCAAAATCCCAGGCCCAATTATCAGCGAAGAGGCGAGCTATCTCCTTTGTTATGGCAAACTTCTTCATAGGTATCAACCTCGTGAACTTGCTCAAGCAGTCAACAATGATGAAGACAACGTCATTCTTCTACTTGGTCTCCAGAAAGCCTCCCACGAAGTCCATAGACACGGATTTGCCTGCTCTATCAGGGATCGGGAGTGGCTTCAAAAGACCATATGGTCTTTGCACTCTTCCCTTTGACCACTGACATATAATGCAACTCTTCACATGCTTTGCAACATCATTTCTCATTGTGGGTCAATAGAACCGCTCTAGAAGTCTCAGGTCATTTTCTTCAAGCCAAAGTGACCTTCAACATCATGACACTCCCCCAATACATCGAGTTGCAGGTCTTTCCATTGGAACACACACTCACAACCCCCTGCTCTCAATATAGAGAAGTCCCCTCTGCAAAGTATAATCGGGAACACGATTGGGGTCTTCTTCAAAGTCTGCAATTATTTGGCTATAGACAGGCTCTTTAGTGCGCGTCGTAGCGATCCTGTCCACCAACTTATCACTCATATTTATTTGTGACTGGATTGTTGCAAAATGATCTTGTCGTCGTGATAATGCATTAGCCACCCGATTTTACCTACCCTTCTTATGCTTCACGTCGAAGTCATAGATGTCTATAACAGTTGCCCAACAAATAATGCCTCTATGTTCGAAGAGTATGGTAAAGGCCACATAGCTTCCTCTCGTAGGTACGCGCGACAACTCTCTTTGACGACACGCGCTTGAAGGTATTCCACTGGCTTAAACTACTAGTACCTTTGCCGAATGGGAAAATAGCAGGCCTCGGGTGAGCCTCCGACCTTTTAGGAGGCCGAATCGGAACGATGGCTGCCGATTAGATTTATCAATGGAAGCCGTTGTCGGACTCAACCTTCAATTTTTTAGGAGTTTCCCCTAATTCTCAACACTGCCAGAGGTACTAGTGGATTAAGCCCATGCACGTAATCCTGCTGCAGCACTGCCCCAGTCCCGTGTTGACTATCATCTGTTGTCAACAAAAATGGCAATGCGGGGTTGGCAATCTTGAAAACATGATAGTTAATGAGATTGTTCTTGAGAGTTTGAAAGACCTTCTCACATTTCTCTGTCCATGAGAAGAGACTGTCTGACCTCGTCAAGTTCGTGAGCGGTGCGGCAATGATGGAGCATTCTTCAATGATTTTTTTGTAATAGTTCACCATCCCCATGAATGGCCACAGTTGTTCTAGGTCTTGGCCAATTTGCAATTGCTTCCACTTTTCTGGCCTCCGGCAGCATGGTATCCATAACAATAACATGTCCCAAGTAGAGAACCTGCTCCTTTCCAAATTCACTCTTCTTTCCGTTGATCTTGTACTTCCTTTGCCTCAACTTCTCTAACATAAGCCTCAGATGCTCCTCATGCTCTTGTATGATTTGTTGAACACAAGCATGTATGATTTGTTGAACACAAGGATGTATGATTTGTTGAGCACAAGGATGTCATCGAGGTAAACTGCCACAAACTGGTTGAGGTACTCTCTCAGCAGGCCGTTCATCACTTGTTGAAAGGTTGTCGGTGCATTTGTGAGACCAAACGACATCACTTTCAACTCATAGAGTCCAATGACTGTCCTAAACGACATCTTATGCTGGTTTTCTAGCTCCACTTCAATCTGGTGGTAGCACATCAAATCAATTTTTGAAAACACTTTGCAGCCTTGCACTTTATCCAACAAATCAATGGGGTGCTTCGCCTCCCTCTCTACGATACATGCGGGCTCCTCACTCACGTACTGCTCCACCAACTGCTGTAT